TTTCAGTTTACACTGCAAAAAGTATCTAGAAATAAGTAAAAAAATTCCTAAATTAAGTGTATTCCCCCTTAATTTGAGTAGGTAAATGAGATAGTTTACCAATGGAATGAGTAATTTTACTCTTAAAATAAGATAATTAGATAATATGCACTTGAAATAAGACAATGCAATTGTGTTTTCTTATTTTAAGTGTAAATTGTCTTGTTCCATTTGCAAAATGTTTGTTTTACCTCCTCAATTCAAGAACAAATGTATTTATTTTAAGAAAAAATAACTTATATAGATTTAGATTTTTTGCAGTGTATTAATATAGAGCCAATTCACATCACATTTCATCAAATAAACTGAATTGAATTTAAAACTCCATATTTTGGACCAAAAATGCAAGCATTGTTTTGTGTAATAAGAGTTGAAAATATTTTCGATGGACCTTCCTAGGTTTATTTGGTAGTTAAGTTTGTTAACATCTTAGTGGATAAATGATAATTACCTGAAGCAAAACAGTAATCTCATCAAGTTTTGTCTACATTTCTAATTTCATTCAGGTTTTCCTTCCATTTTATAGAAATACATGCGTTTGCAATCTGACTGTATGATCTGGTTGAATTGTCACTGCAAAATATTTAAATGTAAATATGTCATTTTTTCTTTAAAAAAAAAGTGCATTTGTTCTTGGATTGAGAAGGTAAAACAGACATTTTGCCAATGGAACAAGAAAATGTACACTTAAAATAAGAAAAGACAATTTCATTGTCTTATTTCAAGTGCATGTTATCTAATTATCTCATTTTAAGAGTAAAAATATTCATTCCATTGGCAAACTATCGAATTTACTCACTGTAATTAAGGGTAAATACACTTCAAATAAGACATTTTTCCAGTATTGAGATGACTTGTTGTGAATTGGTGCCATTTAAATAAACTGAATTTAAAACCATTAGAGGGTTTTTGTTTTGTTTTTTGCTAGCACTTTTTCTCACGAAAAGCCAAAAAGTGACCTTTTCTGTATTAAATGAACTCTGAGTGACTCTTCATATTTGCATGAATGATTAAAGGAAACTACAGCCAAAGCCTTTCCGTGTGACAGTCCGCTGTAGCAGAGCTGTGTTCTGTGTTTTGTTACTGGCATGGACTCTGACTCCCCTTTGTGTGTCTTCGGTCTTCCTTGCTTGAGGCCTGGCCACAGGACTTGCCAATGTGCTGGTGTCACCATTAATAACAAATGCCACCTTCTGTCGTGACCTACAGGATCATTAGCACCCCCCAGAGCCCCACCCCCCCTCACAAACACAAAGAGACCAGAATGCAAAACAAAAATGCTTCATATTGTTTATTGAATTCTACATTACTTGAAATTATTGTTTTTTTTAAATGCCCTTCATAAGAAAATACATATATATTAAAACATTTACAAACAAAACACTCTTAATTTTTCAAATGTATTGCAAATATCACTGATGCACTGGAAAAACGATCTAGAAAGAAGTAAAAATGTCATAAATTAAGTGTATTTAGCCTTACTTTGAGTAGGTAAATGAGGTGGTTTGTGAATGTAAAGAGTATTTTTACTTTGACTTTACTTGAAATAAGACAATGCAATTGTGTTTTCTTATTTTAAATGTAAATTGTCTTGCTCCATTGGCAAAATGTCTCTTTTTGCCTCCTCAATCCAAGAGCAAATGTATTTATTTAAAGAAAAAAATGACTTATATTTCCCAGTGTGTAAAGTTAAACAAAATTCGGAGATGTCACTCATGTATTATTCTCAAGGATTTGCTACTAGCTATTGACGCCGGGTCAAGATGTATTTAATACCCACAGAAAGCTACATACTATTCATATTCAGTGCACTGGCTGATAATTACCTTGTTACGGCTTGTTCACAAGCCTTGTAAGCAAAGGCCAGGTGATGCATTTTTAAATATTCATAAGTGTTCCTTAAACTCCGTCCCAATGATGAGAAGGCAGGAGCTCCTTTTATCAGCAGCCTAAAGGCCAAACGCACCATTTGCATCCGACTCTACAGACTCTCATCCCTCTTTATTTTCATTCATACCAGCTGCATGAGATCAAGTATTCACTCTATCTCAAATATTTCTAGCTCAAACAAGCAGCAAATGTAAATCTGGTCTCTGGTTTTCAATGTTTTGTCATTAGTTTGCCAATGGGATGAGATAGTTTGCCAATGGGATGAGTATTTTTCCTCTTAAAATAAGATAATTAGATAATATGTGCTTGAAATAAGACAATGCAATTGTGTTTTCTTATTTTAAATGTAAATTGTCTTGTTCCATTGGCAAAGTGTCTCTTTTACCTCCTCAATCCAAGAACAAATGCACTTATTTTAAGAAAAAATTAATTATCTAGATTTCTATTTTTTTCCAGTGTTCAACAGCATATTGTCTTATCTTAACTCATTCCATTGGCATTCTATTTCATTTACCTTCTCAAATTAAGGGAAAATACACTTAATTTAAGACATTTTTAACTTTTTTCTAGGTTGTTTTTCCAGTGCAAATGGCAAAGCACTTCCCTTCAACTTCCAGCCACTGGAGTGATTCCCTCTGACTCCACTCTTTCACTGAATTACCGAGAGATATTGCTTCTCTTTTTTAGTACAAGGATTGTTGTTTAAAAATGAATTGTAGGGGACCAGTCACACTGCAAAAAATGATCTAGAAATAAGTAAAAATTTCATAAATCCAGTGTATTTACCCTTCATTTTAGTAGGTAAATAAGATGAGCTGCCTATGGAATTAGTATTTTTACTCTTAAAATAAGATAATTAGATAATATGTGCTTGTAAGAAGACAATACAGTTGCTTTTTCTTATTTTAAATATAAAATGTCTTGTTCCATTGTCCAAGTGTCTCAATTCAAGAAAAAATGCATTCATTTATTTGAAGAAAATATGACTTTGTTAGATATAAAACTTTTTGCAGTGCAAGGAAAGTGGCGAAATTTTAAATGGCTACTCTGCACAAACGATCTAGAAATAAGTTTTAAAAAATTTAATTAAGTGTATTTACCCTTAATTTGAATAGGTAAATACGATTATTTGCCAATGGAATGAGTATTTTTACTCTTAAAATAAGATAATTAGATAATATGCACTTGAAATAAGGCAATATAATTGTTTTCTCTTATTTTAAATGTAAATTGTCTTGTTCCATTTGCAACTTGTTCCACTTTAGTCCTCAGTTCAAGAAAAAATGCACTTATTTTAAGGAGAAAATACTTACTTAGACCTAATTTTTTGCAGTGCAAACACTGCAAGAAATCTAAATCTAGATAAGTCATTTTTTCTTAAAATAAGTGCATTTTTTCTTGAACTGAGGACTTAAGTGGAACAAGTTGCAAATGGAACAAGACAATTTACACTTATCTTATTTCAAGTGCATATTATAGATGCATTATAGATATTAAGAGTAAAATTACTCATTCCATTGGCAAACTTTCTCATTTACCTACTCAAATTAAGGGTGAATACACTCAATTAAGGAAATTTTTACTTACTTCTAGATCATTTTTGCAGTGAAGAAAGTGGGGAAATTTTAAACGGCTACTACTGTATTTGCCCCTTAAATATTGTGATCAAAAATATATTGAAAAAAATGGAAAATACTGGATGCAGTTAGGGTATACTGGATGTGCAGTGAAGCCTTTATTTTTCAAAATTACACAGAACTTCAGAAACATTCAGAAACATTCAGGTTCTGTTGGTATTTCCCAGGATAGCTCAGATGAACAGTGCAGACTAGTACTAGCAGCAGACATGTTGGTCTGTCAGGCTGTTTGGTATAAAAACGGATGTTATCTAATGAATTGAATTGAATTGTCAATGTGAGGTCTAAGAGAGAAATAAACAAATGGACAGAGAACCACCTGAATTAATGCGGTTTACAGTCCCCATCTACGCTCCCCAGGTTATATCTGAGAGAAAATGGGTGAAGAAAGAGAAAACCATAGTGTGAATAATAAAGAAAGCATTACTGTATATATAAGGAGAATTTTAAATTTTATCCTGCTTTTAGCTACATTTGTAGGCATCTTAGAAAATCGATCAAATCAAAAAATATAAACTAGTCTACATTTCCTTAGTAGATGTAGACTTAGATTTTATTTAGTCATTTTGTACACACAAGTGTAGACAAAAAGAATTTCAGTTCTTTTCTACAGTTCCAACATTCAGGTGTTTTTTTGTTTTGTTTTTTTATAAACCATTTTATATAACATAATCAGTCTAATGGCAGCGGAGAATAAGCTGTTCTGGAATCTGCTGGCTCCTGCATCGGATGCTGTGAAGTCTCTTCCCAGAGGGCAGCAGGGAGAACAGTCCATGGTGGGGGGGTGGGGGGTCACTGAATGAGGGATTGTATTTGAGTCAATGAGTCGATGCAATCAACCGGTTTTCCTTGGATAGAAAACTGAATCAATTTGACTGTATGATCTGGTGAACTGTAAAGTGCCTTGAGATGAAATGTGTTTTGAATTTGGCACTATATAAATAAAATAAACTGAATTGATGATGTCACAGGCTCGGGACACACATAGTATATGTTATCGGTTATGTTTCTTTATCTATATATAGATCTATGCTTCAAATTTTGTCCTTTAACTTGCATAAATTAAGTTATCAGAATAAATATGCAAGTTGTAATAAAAAAAACAAAAACTGCATTAATGACATGATTTGGCACTTCCAATATAAACAACATTAAGGTAAATAATAATGAGGAAAAAATATTAGGGAATATTCGATGTTCCTCACTGTGTGTATATATTATATTTAAAGAAGTAAAATGGTTAACGATATTTAGCCCTGCCCCCTTTTAAGAATACAAATAATTTGCATCCTGTTTTCAAATACTTGAGTTCTAAATAACGTAGTTTCTTCTCTCTGGTCTCCTTGTTCCTCTGACTGATAGCCTCTTTTTTAAAGCTCAAACCTCCCAATTTTTACAACCGGCATTTGATTTTTCTCACTCTCTGTCTTGCAGATTGTCGAACAAGGAAAGAACGCGAAGAGCTATCACTACATCCTGGCCAACCTGGTAAGAAATTGCCATGACAGAGCAGCTCCTTTATCTCAAAAGAATCCCACACACTTTTTCCATATACTTCATACTTCTATTGAATCTGGATTGCCCATAAATCGAGCTTTTTAAAGTCTTCCTGACTCTCGACGCTTTATCGCCACTTTAATAGACTCGTGCACACAGGATAAATTAGGGTGGAACTATCTGCTTTTACATCTTCTCATTCCATTTTCCACTTCAGCCATCCTTTCTCTGACACAGCAGCAGAAAACCGCCGCAGTAGACTAAAGCACAGGGTGATCTGTGATGGCGGGAGGGAGGAATCTGTGCAGACATACACTATATTGCCAAAAGTATTTGCTCACCTGCCTTGACTCACATATGAGCTTAAGTGACATCCCGTTCCTAATCCATAGGGTTCAATATGACGTCGGTCCACCCTTTGCAGCTAGAACAGCTTCAACTCTTCTGGGAAGGCTGTCCACAAGGTTTAGGAGTGTGTTTATGGGAATTTTTGACCATTCTTCCAGAAGCGCATTTGTGAGGTCGCACACTGATGTTGGACGAGAAGGCCTGGCTCTCAGTCTCCGCTCTAATTCATCCCAAAGGTGTTCTATCGGGTTGAGGTCAGGACTCTGTGCAGGCCAGTCAAGTTCATCCACACCAGACTCTGTCATCCATGTCTTTATGGACCTTGCTTTGTGCACTGGTGCACAGTCATGTTGGAAGAGGAAGGGGCCAGCTCCAAACTGTTCCCACAAAGTTGGGAGCATGGAATTGTCCAAAATGTCTTGGTATGCTGAAGCATTCAGAGTTCCTTTCCTTGGAACTAAGGGGCCAAGCCCAGCTCCTGAAAAACAACCCCACACCATAATCCCCCCTCCAACAAACTTTACACTTGGCACAATGCAGTCAGACAAGTACCGTTCTCCTGGCAACCGCCAAACCCAGACCCGTCCATCAGATTGCCAGATGGAGAAGCGCGATTCGTCACTCCAGAGAACGCGTCTCCACTGCTCTAGAGTCCAGTGGCGGCGTGCTTTACACCACCGCATCCGACGCTTTGCATTGCACTTGGTGATGTATGGCTTGGATGCAGCTGCTCGACCATGGAAACCCATTCCATGAAGCTCTCTGCGCACTGTTCTTGAGCTAATCTGAAGGCCACATGAAGTTTGGAGGTCTGTAGTGATTGACTCTGCAGAAAGTTGGCGACCTCTTCGCACTATGCGCGTCAGCATCCGCTGACCCCGCTCCGTCAGTTTACGTGGCCTACCTCTTCGTGGCTGAGTTGCTGTCGTTCCCAAACACTTCCATTTTCTTATAATACAGCTGACAGTTGACTGTGGAATATTTAGGAGCGAGGAAATTTCACGACTGGATTTGTTGCACAGGTGGCATCCTATCACAGTTCCACGCTGGAATTCACTGAGCTCCTGAGAGCGACCCATTCTTTCACAAATGTTTGTAAAAACAGTCTGCATGCCTAGGTGCTTGAATTTATACACCTGTGGCCATGGAAGTGATTGGAACACCTGATTCCAATAATTTGGATGGGTGAGCAAATACTTTTGGCAATATAGTGTAGCTTGACAGAAAAGGGTCAGGCGGCCCGGCTTTATCTATCAGCTCCCTCTTTTGTTTTCCTGCCATTTTCTCCGTGCAAATAGCATTTAGACATGTACGGTGCAGTAAATGCAGCAAAGTGAAGGCGAAACTGACAGCTGTGGCTGTAACAACATTAATATGCAGCATCTAGCTCTGACAATTTCTCACCGCCCGGGTTTTAGATTGCTTCAATCACTCTTGTTTGGCCAGTTTGCCAGATTTGATTTTAAATGATAAGGCTTGGACAGCAGGAAAGTGGCCGAAGTGGTTAATAATGGGCCCATTAAAGGTCTGCTTTAAAAAAAGGAAAATACTTCAACAAAATACCTTTTTTTTCTGTCCTTTCTCCCAACAGGATAGGAGATTACTTTAACCGTTTTACAGTATATGTAGGAAACAAACCTTCATGTCCAACATTAGCAAAGGCTGGTTTCTATAGTAACCTCTTCAGCTCACTCTTACTTTAATTGATTCATGGAATAAAGAAACGATGCAAATCTTTCTAAGCCCCTCATACGTACCTGACGACTTTCAAAGACGGTGATGACAAAAGGACGCAGACACTCAGTAAACAAGCAGACCTTCTGATTATAAATAGCTTACAGTGGTTCCATGTGTTTGCATCGCTGGCGACAGCTTTAAAATAGATCCATCTTTACTGTTGCATAATAATAAAACAAAGAAAAAGATTTAAAAATTATTTGTTTGGATGAAAATTCCTGGTATCAAAACTTTGAGGACCCACCCCTCCCAACAGCATCCCAGAAAGGGATACATTTTACCCCAATAAGAACCAAAGACACCTGGCTCACTTTAAAATGTAAAAAAAAAAAAATATTGGTTCTGGAAATATAAAATAAGTATATATGAATTTCTCTATGATTCTTTATAATTATTCAGCATAAATTTCTGTCTTTATGCTGATGATATCTCACTAACAGGAAAGGGTCGCTCACACTGAGCCTGGTTCTGCTGGAGGTTTCTTCCTGTTGAAAGGGAGTTTTTCCTCTCCACTGTCGCTACAAGCATGCTTAGTGTGAGGGATTGCCTTCGACTTGATGCAATCAGCTGGTTTTCCTTAGATAGAAAACTTTCAATCAATCTGACTGACGTTGCTGTGAAGTTAATAGCAGCGATGGCAAAAGTACTCACTTTCCGTACTTGAGTAAAAGTACAGATACTTGTGTTAAAAAATACTCTGGTAAAAGTGGAAGTACTGATTAAACTTCTTTACTCAAGTAAAAGTAACAAAGTACAGGCTTGTAAATTTACTTAAAGTATAAAAGTAAAAGTAGAAACCACTTTTTTCATGCCGTTGCCTACATTTTAAATGGATGTCTGCCAATAGGACTAGATCTCCGTTGTGTTCATTTCCAATCATCTCGTCGTCCATGCTACTATGCTAACGCCACCGCCACCAAGCTGCAATGATTTGCCGCCAATGAATACCGCCGAATCTGTCGATTCATCTTGTAGTGGTGCGTCAAATGCAACGTAGATTCCCATCCAATTAGATTGAATTTGGTATTGAAGACGTGAAAAATAACGGTAACTCCATTGAAATGATTCAAAAATGCAAAAATGTAAGGAGTAGGAGTAAAAAGTTGCCATAAAAATAAGTAGTAAAGTAAAAATATCAGAAAAATCTACTTGAGTACAGTAACAAAGTATTTGTACTTCGTTACTTCCCATCTCTGGTTAATAGACATGCGAGTTCATGTCGTAGTCTACTGGTGTTTGCAATGCTTTAGGCGCCCTCTTCCAAGCCATCAGTTTTCCATGAGGCATTACAGCACGGTTGAGACTTATTTCGTAGCAGCATCAACATCTGGGATTTCATTATCATAATCTACTGGGATTTGGTCTTTTTGGATTGTTGTTGTTGTTAGCTGGACTTAATAAGGCCAAGGTGTCCCATTTTGTTGCAGTTAACCCTGTCCTTCCTAAAGCTTTTTCATTGCTTTACCATTGATGTAAATTAGCTTTAGATGAATTCAGCTAAAAAAAAAAAAAACTGTTTATCATATTATATTTGTAAACCAAGAAATCTGAATGCCACATAAATTATTTATTAATTATTTGGACTTTTTTGGAAACCTCCATTTAAAGTGTTGTTGTTTGCCTATCTTAAAGATATATATATATATATATATATACATATACAGGTGCTGGTCATAAAATTAGAATATCATGAAAAAGTAGATTGATTTCTGTAATTCCATTTAAAAAGTGAAACTTGTATATTATATTCATACATTACATACAAACTCATATATTTCAGATGTTTATTTTGTTTAATTTTGATGATTACAAATGACAACAAATGAAAATCTCAAATTCATCATATCAGAAAATTAGAATATTACTGAAGACCAATAAAAACAAAGGATTTATAGAAATGTTGGCCAACTGAAAAGTATGAACATGAAAAGTATGAGCATGTACAGCACTCAGTATTTAGTTGGGCCTCCTTTGGCCTGTATTACTGCAGCAATGCGGCGTGGCATGGAGTCGATCAGTCTGTGGCACTGCTCAGGTGTTATGATAGCCCAGGTTGCTCTAATAGTGGCTTTTAGCTCTTCTGAATTGTTGGGTCTGGTGTATTGCATCTTCTTCTTCACAATACCCCATAGATTTTCTATGGGGTTAAGGTCAGGAGAGTTTGCTGGCCAATTAAGAACAGGGATACCATGGTCCTTCAACCAGGTACTGGTAGCTTTGGCACTGTGTGCAGGTGCCAAGTCCTGTTGGAAAATGAAATCTGCATCTCCAAAAAGTTGGTCAGCTGCAGGAAGCATGAAGTGCTCTAAAACTTCCTGGTATGTGGCTGCGTTGACCCTGGACCTCAGAAAACACAATGGACCAACACCAGCAGATGACATGGCACCCCAAACCATCACTGACTGTGGAAACTTTACACTGGACTTCAAGCAACGTGGATGAAGTGCCTCTCTTCTTTTCCTCCAGACTCTGGGACCTTGATTTCCAAAGGAAATGCAAAATTTACTTTCATCAGAGAACATGACTTTGGACCACTCACCAGCAGTCCAGTCCTGTTTCTCTGTAGCCCAGGCAAGACGCTTCTGACGCTGTCTGTGGTTCAAGAGTGGCTTGACACAAGGAATGCGACAGCAGAAACCCATGTCTTTCATACGTCTGTGTGTGGTGGTTCTTGAAGCACTCACTCCAGCTGCAGTCCACTCTTTGTGAATCTCCCCCACATTTTTGAAGGGGTTTTGTTTCACAATCCTCTCCAGGGTGCGGTTATCTCTCTTGCTTGTACACTTTTTTCGACCACATCTTTTCCTTCCCTTCGCCTCTCTATTAATGTGCTTGGACACTGAGCTCTGTGAACAGCCAGCCTCTTTAGCGATGACCTTTTGTGTCTTGCCCTCCTTGTGCAAGGTGTCGATGGTCGTCTTTTGGACAACTGTCAAGTCAGCAGTCTTCCCCATGATTGTGTAGCCTATAGAACTAGACTGAAAGACCATTTAAAGGCTTTTGCAGGTGGTTTGAGTTAATTAGCTGATTAGAGTGTGGCACCAGGGGCCATCAATTTTGAACCTTTTCACAATATTCTAATTTTCTGATATGATGAATTTGAGATTTTCATTTGTTGTCATTTGTAATCATCAAAATTAAACAAAATAAACATCTGAAATATATGAGTTTGTATGTAATGTATGAATATAATATACAAGTTTCACTTTTTAAATGGAATTACTGAAATCAATCCACTTTTTCATGATATTCTAATTTTATGACCAGCACCTGTATATATATATATATATATATTTTTTTTTTTTTTTTTTTTTTTGTTTAGCCTGTCTGAAAATGAAAGAGGAGAAAATATGAAAAAAGGATATTTTTAGGCAGGCATGGAGCATAAAGAGAACCAAACATCATGAAACAATGTGGGAACAAAGAAGAAAAAGAAATCACCGAACACTTAGACAGATGCTTGGCAAGACGCAATGCGAGGAAGTACCTTTTTTTCCTTTTCATCTGGTAAAACTCTGCTTTTATAAATCACAGAGAATCTCCCACCCGTTCACGTTCCCATTTGTCCGCCTCTTCCTCTCCCTTCAGTGACAGGCCACCTGCTGAGCCGCTGAAGCTGTCTGTATTATTCTATCTTTCTCCTTCTACAGAAAAAATTAAGAAATACCAGTCAGGGTAAAAAAGAAAAAGAAAAACATGAGCAGAGATACTACATTTCCTGCTAATCTCTTCTTTCTCTGTTCTTGGTTGCGTAAAGCTTGAGCTGTATTTTACCCTGAATCCTGTAAGATTTTGATCCTTTCATTTTTAACCGTGACCTATGAGGACTTAGGCTGTCACAGATTACCTCAGGACTACTTCTGCTTGAAATTAGTTTTCTTATTCTCCTTTTTCCACACATTCTGTCCTTCAAACAGACTTCAGAATCAATAAAGTCTGTTTTGTATAACAAATTCTAAGGTATTCGCACTAAACCTTAGATATCGAAATGAACTTAATTGATCTCACTGTGGAGAAATTTACAGGTTACATCAGCTCAAATAGTAAAGGAAGAAAAAGGTGGATGTATATAAATATAGTCTATGCAGTGCATCCACATATGACAGCTTTTTATTTTATTTTTAAATAGTAGGATCATTATACAGGGTTATCATTGCACTATGTTCAGAGTTATTAGCATTTTAACCTATAATTTCAGTCTATTTATTTAATAGTTTCTTTTAAATTGTATTATTGATCTATTGTAAATCGATCAGAGCGTCTTGGAAATACTCTTGTTTATAATTCCAAAAAAGTGAAAAATACAATCCGCTGGACTTTGTTTCCACTTGTTTAAGGATTAAAAACTGTTGGCCTGCAACTGTTTTTCAATTCAAAAGCATGTCTAAGAAATCCCACTTAAATCAAATAAATGTTAGTTTACAAATTTTATAATCCAACGTTGTGAGCGCATCGGAATGAGCTGGAGCCGAGCGAAATTCTCACTCCTGCCTTTGAATTGAAAACCGCTCTGCACTCCACCATATTTGTTTCGCTCCACATGCTCTGCCCCGGGTGCTGCACAATGGCAGCCCGCTGCTCCCCAAATGGATTAATCAAAATGCAGAGAACGAATTACCCCATTGTGGGACAATAAAGGGATTTACATTTACGTGTGTTGCTGTCTGGTGAAGGGTTTCCTTGACATCGACCTGACGGACCTGAGGAAAGGCGGCGCCAACATCACTGGCTTTCAGCTTGTTAACAACTCCGAGCCGAGTGTGAGCCGCATCGTGCAGCAGTGGATGGAGTTTGACAACAAAGACTCCAAAGTGCCCAAAACTGGACTCAAAGTAGGTTTTGCCTTTTTTATTATTATTTTGTTATTATTATTAAAATGTCCCCCCTTTCCTTGATGGGAACTTGGCTGGTCCCCTACAATTCATTTTTAAACATTAATATTTCTACTAAAATATTATTTCTGTCAGGATTTGTGGACATTAAGATCTAAAGAGAAGTATCATCTCCTGGTCAGACCCTTAATTCAGTATAAGGGTGGAGTCAGAGTAACAAAATATGCAAGAGGGGTTCACTGCAGTGGCTGGAAGTTGTAGGGGGTTTTGCTGGGAATTGGAAGGAAGGGACATTTTGAATGGCTGCTACTGCAAGAGAACGCATAGAAGGAGCATGAACTCATGGTTGTGTCAGAACACAAAACATGTTAAAAATGCACCTAGAGGGTAGTTTACTTGAGTGTAAATATAACTGCTCTCTTCAGTAATTATTACACACATGTACTTTTGATAGAATTCTGACTTCATAGCGAAAAAAGGTAACATCACACAAGGATATGACAAGGCAACTTTACTGTTCTTTGCTTAGCCTTCCTATTACCTGATGTATGCAATGCCCTCTCTCTCTCTCTCTTAGCCTAAATGAATTGTAAACATCATCAGGAGGTGAAAAACACTCCTTCTAATTTATTTTGTTTGTTTTTTATGTGTTTTTTCTCTAACTTAACAAAAAAAGAAAACAATACAACAACACAGACCTAGCTAAATCTCAGCTGCCACTCAGAAGCAACATCAGTGCAGCATAGCTGTACAAAAATTAGGTTTTTGATCTGCTGATCATTGTGAAAATCAGCTACTGGCTGATTTTACAGTGCATCTCCAGCCCATTGTTTGGCTATGACTGGTGTTTTGTCAGATGTGTGTACTTCGTCACACCAGCACACCCATAGTCAATACACATGGACGTCAGATTTGCGTTTATCTCTTTAGTTTTGTACAAAAAAAAAGCAATTTAAGGTCAGATTGACATACACTTCAAAATAAAACCAAAAAGTAAGCAATGAAATAGTTTTTTTGTACATGACTAAAGAGATACACGCCCACTGAAGTAGTTTAAAGTGCGTTTTTCGTACAAAATTAAGGGGATAAATTAAAGGGATAAACGTGTGTTGACTGTTGGTATGCTGGTCTGACGGAACACTGGCATAAAAAGATTAGTGAATGTTCTAAATATGTATTCCCAGATTTATCAGAATGTATCTGTATGTATCTTGTATTTGGTCAATAATTTTTTATGTAAGCTCAGCGAGCTAAAATAGCATGACAATAGAAAGGTTTCATGTGTGGAACAAATAGCTCATCCATTTTGCCACCTTGGCTCCTTTTACTTCTGTGTTAATCTTGTTGTTTGTTTGGAATATCTGTCTGCAGTACATGGGCGCACTAACGTACGACGGGGTGAAAGTCATGTCCACAGCCTTCCAGAATCTAAGGAGACAGAGGATAGACATCTCTCGTCGCGGCAACGCCGGAGAGTGTCTCGCCAACCCACCAGCCCCTTGGGGACAGGGCATAGACATCCAGAGAGCCTTGCAGCAGGTCTGCACTCATCCACAGAGACAAAACACTCCACACACAAAAAAATATAAAGCACACGCACACACGGCCATAGATATCCCAACTCTGCATGGACGAATACCGGAATCTTTGACTGGCACTTTGGCTAACAGCTCCTGAGCCGGGGCTAGCTGAACAAATTAGGTCTCATTCTGTCGCGTAAAGTTCACATTAAGTCATAGGAGAAATCCCCGGTATCAAATGTGACATCACGGCTAGTAAACAAAACCCACAGGCAATATTACTCAGCTGTGATCATCATGAGATATGACAAGAACAATTGAGTTTAGAAATGCAATATTTGGCCTTGGGAATAGTAATGGTGGCGTGGCTCTGAGGCTACTCCATTTCTTGGGGTCAGGAGACACTTGGCATGAGAATTACTCTCTCTATATTTATAATAATACATTTACAGCATTAGAATATATGTAGACACAAAAAAGATGGGGTTTTCCCACATAGATGTAAATAAATAGCATGTGCGCATGCGTGCAGCCCAAGGCGCTTTCTGCAGAGGCTGTGCAGAGTCATTCTAGCCATCTGCCTGCGGACAGACTGGAGATTGAAGCTCCTGTTCGCTCAATTAATTCCATCTCCAAGCCTAGACAAACACACAGCATTGTACACATACATGCCCACCGTCTGTCGTTCACCTCCACAGGGACAGCCAGAAAATTCAACAAAAGAGTGCTATACAAACATATGGAAGCTATTGTAACGCATTACAAATGTGTTTTACGACATTGCTTACAAAGCCATCAAGCAGAGACGTTATGAAGTCATGGCTCTTTTAAAAGCATACAGTCAAAATGTCCCCTCTTTCTTTAATGGGCCATCGGCTGGTCCCCTTAGATTCCTTTTTTAAACATCAGTCTTTGTACTAAAATATTCTTTCGGTCAGGATTTGTGGACATTAAGATCTAAAGAGAAGCGTCTTCTGGTTAGACCCTGTTATTAAATGAAAGGGTGGTAAAAAAATATGTTGGGTTCATGGAGAGGATTTTGCTGGGAGTTGCAGGGAAGTTGGCTGCCATTCGGCTACAGTTTGACTGGGACTAGTGTAATAGATACTGATGCAAGCAGTTTATTTAAAACACACCGAAATAAATGTATTTTAAATGTTTTATGACAAAATAATGAGTTAAATTTTGTCCTTTTAAAGGAGGAATCAACCTGTGAAACGAAACTCTGATCGGTTACTTGCCTCTTGGGACAGTACTGTTATTTTTCGTAGGCCGTTTCTGAATGTGTGTGCAGCAGCCAGGGCTAACGTAAATCCCTCTTGCGTTGTGGTGTGGAATAACATAGCGCAGAATTAGGTATAAACCAAAAATATCTGCATCATACCTGCGGAAAGCTAACTGCGACACACTGCTGCGGGGGTATAACCAGCCCTTAGTAAAGAACCCAAAACGACTTCCCATTCCAAAGGGGTGGACCCGTTCTTACGGTTACAATTTGCATGTTTTCTAAGCCAAAACAATTTTTCGGTCCACTCTATAAAGCTTCAAACTCATCGCGAAATCTGACATTTTGAATTGAAAAAGCTTCCTGGATGGGAAGTGAAATGTCCAGTGGATTGTTTTTAACTTTTTTGGAATGCTTGTATCCAGGCTCGGACTGGGAACAATTTTTGGCCTACAAAATACTGGAACATAAATTCGACAAATATAAGAGGAACATCATAGTTTGGTTTAAAGTAAGCATTTTAGTTTTATTATAATTTACCGTAAATTCCGAACTTTAGAGCGCACCTGATTACAAGCCGCACGCTCTAACTTTAGAGAGAAAATCACTTTTGTACTTTCATAAGCCGCACCGGATTTTAAAGGAATAGTACACCCAAAATATGATTAGCCGTCATTTTCTACTCACCCCCATGCTGAACAACACTCTGGAGTACTTTTTTGATATCTCAAATGCATCTGGAGATCTGGGAGGCTTCTTACTGTCTGCTGACATTCAAATAATGGAGGTGTATGGCGCCTGAGGCAGAAAGGTCCATAAAAGTCCACAAAAAACGTGTCAATATTCCTCAATACTGCTCGTCCAATGTATGGACGATGTATGTCTAACCGCGGCAGACCAAACCAGATGAAAGTGCGCATTCAGCGTCTGCTCTGCCGATAATGCAAGCGAAGAAGAAGAAATGTGCTGTTTACCTGTGCAAAGAAAGAAACAACGAAAGAAAAATGTCTGAGGACTTCAGTGTTGAGGAAGAGCATGAGTTCTTTGCCGAGCTGAATGCGCACTTTCATCTGGTTTGGTCTGCCGCGGTTTGCGTAGACTCATGAACGTGCTTTTAGGAAATCCTATACACTACTGTTTATGCTCTAAAAACATTCTAAATGACTTCGTTTCAAGTAAATTCTGGATGCTACCCACTCAGGACACTTGGAATACATTGGACGAGCAGTATGGAGGAATATTGACACGTTTTTTGTGGACTTTTATGGACCTTTCTGCCTCGGGCGCCATAGACCTCCATTATTTGAATGTCAGCAGACAGCAAGAATCCTCCCAGATCTCCAGATGCATTTGAGATATCAAAAAAGTACTCCAGAGTGTTGTTCAGCATGGGGGTGAGTAGAAAATGAAGGCTAATCATGTTTTGGGTGTACCATTCCTTTAAGCCGCAGGTTTCCCACGTTGTATGAGATATTTACAAATAAAAATATTACACGTGAGCATTTTTTTTTTTTACGTTTGATTTAATCCGTATTATGGAGGACCAACTCTGCCATATTTAAAAATAAATACTTAAAAATATAAGTAATTAAAAAATAAAGTTGAAGATTATCAAGGACAAAAAAAAGATAAATATTACAAAGGCAAATAAATAAAGAAGCAAATTAAGATTTATATACATTTATGTCTCACTTTATAATTTCATCTCTACTTACATTTATTTGTTTATTGTATTTTTGTTGGCAATTAATTGTATTCTTATATATTTATTGAGCATTTATTTATTTCTGTTTTTATTTTTAAATATGGCAGAGTTGGTCCTCCATACTGTATGATAAAACAAACAAATACGGTTCATATTATGAATGCATTTTTTAAAAACTACCTGTAACACATTTAAATATACGTATGTGTCGGTAACACGCAAATAACGCTGCATATACCGGTACTTTTAAATGAACAACGCACAGAACATTGCAGCCGACCAGGAAAAGTCATTAATCACTTTCTTCTTCCTCCTGCGCACTAAAACCCTCAAAGTCGTCTTCCTCAGTGTCTGAATGGAACAGCTTCAGGATGCCGCCGCTGACTTCAGTCTCATCCTTGTCCTTGAACACTCGCGGTCCTCTTCATCCCGCAGCAGCAACGCCTTCCGAAACTCGCCGGTGATGCTGGGTGTTTTCACACGGCTCCACGCATTGAGAACCCACTGGCAGACATCAGTGAATTTCGCGCCATGAAAAAAATAAATGCCTTAGCCGCACTGTATTATAGGCCGCAGTGTTCAAACGGCGTGAAAAAAGTAGCGGCTTACAGTCCGGAATTTACGGCAGTTTGTTGCAAGGATATTACAGTATGAAAAAATAGAAAACTACACCATATGCCAACCATCACAAGGATGTGCATGACAAGGAAGAGCTATATATACTGCATCCATCATTTAGGTAGTTAATATTGTATTACTTTTACACAGGAGGAGCTTTGGCTGGAGAGTAAGTGTTTGGCGCCGCTATGATTTAAGGAGGCCGGCCCTCGAATGCTGAAATTAGGACCGGCCCACAGGGCAAATAACCTGACTCCGGCAGACGGATTTGCTCCGCATATCCATCTGGAAACCTTCCGTAGAAGTAATTTTGGGAAGGGGCGAAAATACTGGTTAGCTGATTTGCCTATGTTGGTGACAGACGGACCAAATAAACCAATCAGATCAACGAAGCATATGATGTACTAACAGAGCGACGACGAAAACACAACCACAAGATCAAACTCTTGCCGAAACCAGTCGGGAGAAGAGCAAAAACATCTTTTCCTCTGAGAAAAGCCTCCAGAGCAGTGTTTTGCTCTTCTTTCAGTGAAGAAATACTCTGTAATTCCGAACTTGCTCGATAGCCACGCTAACGCTAGTTTCATCGGCTGAAGCCGCCATGTTCTTTAGACTGAACTGTCGCGCTTCTCGTTGCGTCACACCTCAACCCGCCTCAAAGCCAACGCTGATTGGATGTTCGTTTGGTGAACGGCTCCAAATTTTCTTCAACGAAGAGTCTCCAGACTGATTAGCGAGTGAAATCTTGAAAGCTCGCGAGATCAGGATGGTCTCACAAGGCTACAGGGCAAACGCCCAGTTTCATAAATGACCAGTCCTCGCCTGCTTGTATCAGTTTTTATTACGGGTCCTATTGGCAGAATTTTGACCTTATATGTTCCAGCCTCTACATCATCTACTGTATATTTGTGACATCTTTTATAGGTTCGCATTGATGGATTGACGGGTCACATCCAGTTCAACGAGAAGGGTCGCAGGACCAACTATACTGTTAGTGTCATGGAACTGGCCCCATTTGGACCCAAGAAGGTAGGCCTAAGGCACCAGTCTTAGAGATTCATCCTTGCCTGAAGAGGCTTAAAGTTGTGCTTGAAACTGAAATATCTCAGCCGCTTATTTTCCTTCCTATTTTCAGTAAGTTGAAAATAGGAAGGAAAATATTGAACGCTTTCAGAGAGCAAGAACTTCCTTTACTTACTGAATAGAAACTTCCTGCTTCTATCAGTGAACGAAACACAAACCTTCACTGTTGCTCCGAAGTTTATATACATGAAATATAAAATATGCATTTAAGGACAGGGAATTATTAATATATAAATATCACATGAAGTATCTGGATGGTTGAAATTTAGAAGGAACACCTGAAATTGATCAAATGTCTTCTAATATCAGGGGTAAAATAAAACAAAATACTTTTAAGGTGTAAAAATCTTCATGCTAGAAGTAGCATGAAGGTAAAATCTGCTTTCCATATTACAGTACCCAAACAGACAGAAAACAGCACAGAGAAAAGCAGCTGTATAAATTATGCATCCCAAACGTTTATTTTAAGTTTTTTCAAACCCTGCTAGTAGAAAAAAATAACACTATTTACTGAAGCAAATGGCAGTCCTTAACTCCACAATTCTGAATTATACATCCATCTTTTTCTGTATTCTGAATGCATGCACTCTGGGTTTAGGTTTGCATGAAGCATTTCTTGTGAATTTCTTCTCTTTAGGATATATTCAACCAAATTCAATGAGAAATGTGTAAAACAAACAATTATTTTTAAACGAGTCGAAGTATTGCACTGAATGTTATCACCCTTTGACATTAATATTTAGCACGTTTGCAACAGCATGCTGTAGACAGAAACCTCTTTAACTCGCTATCTAACATTTTCTATATTTTACTGCTTTCCTTTTTTATTACCGATAGAAAAATCTCCAAAAACCTAAATTACCCTTTATTTTCATATGAGCAGAAACAGGCTTTTTCATCAAATGCATCTGGAGATCTGGGAGGCTTCTTGCTGTCTGCTGACATTCAAATAATGGAGGTCTATGGTGCCCTAGGCAGAAAGGTCCATAAAAGTCCACAAAAAACGTGTCAATATTCCTCCATATTGCTCGTCCAATGTATTCCAAGTGTCCTGAGTGGGTAGCGTCCATAATTTACTCGAAACGAAGCTATTTAGAATGTTTTTAGAGCATAAACAGTAGTGTATAGGATTTCCTAAAAGCGCGCGCCTGCGCGTTCACGACGCTACGGAAGCCGGCAGACCAAACCAGATGAAAGTGCGCATTCAGCGTCTGCTCTGCCGATAATGGAAGCGTAGAAGAAGAAATGTGCTGTTTACCTGTGCAAAGAAAGAAACAACGAAAGAAAAATGTCTGAGGACTTCAGTGTTGAGGAGAAGCATGAGTTCTTTGCCGAGCTGAATGCGCACTTTCATCTGGTTTGGTCTGCCGCGGTTTCCGTAGAGTTGTGAACTCGCAGGCGCGCGCTTTCAGGAAATCCTATACACTACTGTTTATGCTCTAAAAACATTCTAAATGACTTCGTTTCGAGTAAATTCTGGATGCTACCCACTCAGGACACTTGGAATACATTGGACGAGCAGTATGGAGGAATATTGAATGTCAGCAGACAGCAAGAAGCCTCCCAGATCTCCAGATGCATTTGAGATATCAAAAAAGTATTCCAGAGTGTTGTTCAGCATGGGGGTGAGTAGAAAATGAAGGCTAATCATGTTTTGGGTGTACTATTCCTTTAATACAAAGTGAATCCAGTAGAAACTTTTATTGCCTACCTGGGTGACAATAGTTGAATAAACTCTTGGCTCTCAAAATGGTATCGATGCCCTATTTGTCGATACTCACCGATACCGATACCATCATTTCTGGATCATGGCCCCGCCCGATACTGGTATTGGTATCTGTGCAACACTACTTCAAAGGTTTATTTAGATAGCTCATATCAACAACACTGTAGGAAATTTATTTTTTCATGTGTTTCAAGTGTTTTCTGTTTAAGTCTAAAGAAGTCAGCAGAAGAGCTAAAGGTGTTCTCAACTGACATATTGTCCTCCTTAGGTTGGCTACTGGAATGAAGATGAGAAGTATGTGACCACAGCCAGCCTCGTGAGGACCAGCAACGAGTCACATGGGCTATTGAACAGGACGTATATAGTCACCACTATTTTGGTAAGTCTGAAAATATGAAGCAGACGGTCTGAAGGTGGATACGACAGATTGACACAGAGACAGTCAGGGTAACATTTTTTCATTTTCTTTTTATGATGGAGTTCCCTAAAAGTTCACTTCCCCCAATAAATTCAGCAGACCTCTGTGATTGTTTCTCCTCCTCCGACTGCGGCCTGCTCTCCTCCTACCGTCTGACAGCTGCCTGCTCAGAATGATGATAACTTTATTGACCAAACACAGCAGCATTGCAGCCTTTAGCCTGCTGACATACAGTGCTGATGACCTGCAGAGGTTTATCCTATTTATTTATTCTTTTAATCATGTCTGTCTTATCAAGATGAATTAAATAAGGCAGAGAAGAAAGGGCTTCTGTATTACAGGTGTGCCTGGAAATAAGTAGATCGCTGAATTTGATTAAAGACGTTACAAAACTAAACCACCTCAGTGTCTCTAAGATGTCAGTGTGTCCTTTCTTTCTGCCTCCTTCCTTTGGCTCAGGATTCAAAAGGAGGCTATTAAACATCCTGGGTGAGATCATATTACGTCTACTGTCCTATATATCAGAGATCTGGATGTTTAAGGGGCTTTAGGTTAGATTACAGTTTTACTTTAGATTTTAGTCAACATTTTTGTTAGGGATGCACGATATTGGGTTTTTGGCCGATATCCGATATTTTAAAAGTCATGTAGCCGATAATCGATATCGATACCGATGTTAAAGCTGGACAAAAATAAGTCGATCTATTTTACTTTCAAAATCTCGTGAAATTTCATCGTTCTGTTACAAACTCTCGTGATATTTTGCAAATTCTTTTGAGATTTTGTTAGTAAAATAGATCGATACCGCGTCAATATATCAACATATAAAAATATGGCAAAATTTCGTGAATTTTCGGGGGATTTCGTAGCATAACGATGACATATAGCAATATTTCATTAGTAAAAGAGATTGATATGGTGTTTTTTAATGGCAATATATCAGCATATGAAGATATTGGGATATTTTAATGTATCAATATTTTTTCCCTCGTCTTTAGAAGTTTTTAAGTCTGTAAAAAATAAGTTTTTGAGGAAGAAGAAGAAGAAGTTTTTTTTTTTTAGACTTTAGGAACTCAGAAGCTGATCAAATATCGGGTTAAATATCGGTGGGGTGGCCGATGTCCGATATTCAGTTTTAAGGCCGATACCGATAGGGGGCCGATTATATCGTGCATCCCTAATTTTTATGGAAAAAAAATTTAGTAAGGAGGAGAAATGTAGCAGACAATACCTGGTAGAAATAAGCTAAAATATGATAATATGTAAACTATTGTTACGGGGCCCCGATACTGGTATAAGAAGGGATGGATGTATGGAATTTAAATTGTACTTCTAGGGATGCGATTTTGGCATCAGATTTGGCTGTTATTTGTTATTTGTTTATACATTATTGTTTTTGGGCCCTATATATATATATATATATATATATATATATATATATATATATATATATATATATATATATATATATATTGCACTAAAAGGCATCTAACTATCTATATATACAAATATCAGTGTATTATGGTTCTCTTGTGTTTGCAATATGCGCAAACACAGACTGGACTGTTCGCTGCTCATTTTTCTCTTTACAGAAGATTTGATTTAAACACATGAAAGATGCTGAGAGAGGAAACAATGAGAGCTTTAGGTTTTCCCTCTCTGCTCAACTCAGCTGATGCATTTCATCCAAACATATCAGAGTTTGATGCAAAAACTCAGTAGCAAGTGTCAAATGCAGTAGCAAAACAGTTTTTTGTTGTGTGTGAAAAATGAAATATGCATCATATCATGTTTACTAAAACTGCAGCACAGATTTAAACAAACGTTAGAAAGATTGAAAAATAACGTACTGATGGTAAATGTTGCATTGTGTCGCTGACTGTGATCCTGTGAAAAGTTGAGTGTTATTTTTATTCTTACCTGAATAACTTGTTGTAGCATTAAATGCAAAAAAAAAGAAGTTTCTTCCTCATAATGAATCTTAAGCAGAATTTAACAGAAGAGCAAACAAAGGGCCAAATATTATTCTCTTCAATAAAACTGTGGATTATTTCAAACTATCTGTAGGAAAGCCTTCAATAGATATATGTTTGAGCTCATTTTTGGAAAATAGAAAAACCTAACTAGTAACCAGGTAGTGCCCATGTACTGTATTAAAATACATTTTAGCACATTTGTGTTAACCTTAGAGAATAAATGTTAGGATCTTTTAATCAGCTATTTTGAAGTGACAAACAAATGAATAATCTACTTTAATCCAATTACATGAACCCTTTAGAGTTTTTTTGTAAATCTTCCATATATTTAAATAGTGTTTACATGTTTTGCAAACATTGTGTGTTTGTATTTAGGAGGAGCAGTTGCTATCTCTTCAAGTGTTTGGTCAATGTTTAGTCAGGGGACTTTCTCTATGGCCCCAACCTGTTTCTGTGTCTTTCTTTATCTGTAACTGTGAATGCATGTCCCTTGACAGCTAAACAAAACAGACCTTTCTCTCCAGCAATTCCCTGGTGTACCATTTCTCTGCCAGTGGGATCTCGGGGTTTTGAAGCAATGATGTCCTTGATCCTAACCATGGGGGGAGCAGCGTGGGCGTCACTACAGCAGGATGGAGAATCCCCTAAACATCTCTATAGCCGTATGAACCATATTGGCAGGATTAGCTTCCCTCAGCATAGCTTGGCTTAAAACAGACTCAGATAACAGCTTGTGGGAATTGCTGCCCTCTAAATGATGGCACACTCTTAAGACTGAGGTGACGAGAAATTCCTGTTAGTAGCATACATTTTCATTAACTGAAGTGTGGTCCCCAGGTTCTTGTCAGCTGTTAATTTCGGGGGGTGGCGAGTCAATCAGTGGGGTGATGTCTCAATTGCTCGCGACTTAGGTCTTGTCTTCTGCTGCGGATACACTCTAACAGCCACTAACAGAGGCTGAGTAATAAGTACCAGATGAAGAAATAGCTATCTGAGTTTGCACATTATGCTCATCAAATGCACTATCGAGCCTAGCGAGAGAGCTACGTCGATACAAGCTCTCTGCTCTGAACGCACACAAGCTAAATATGATACTGCAGAGAGCTCTAACTCTAGGTGATTATTCTAGACAATCACACTCCCTGATTGCTGATACAACGATCACAAGCACTTAGCAATAGCGCACTTCTCTCCTCTATATATTGGTGGTGATAGTAACAGAATCAGTACAACACTACCGAGCTCTGCGTACACTTGACTCAGAGGAACACTACAAGTATGTGAAGTCTTCAGTACTGTCTATGTTTCTACACACTTACTACTTGATCTTACTTTTACTACACTTCTCTATGGTGATTTACTTCTACTCCTTAGATTTTTTAAAAATGTCCTCGTACTTTTAGTTTTGAACTTTCAATGGGTTTCCGTTATTATTTTTCACAGTCATCAAATGACAAATTCAATCTAATTGTTGGATGGGAATCTACGTTGCATTTGACGCACCACTACAAGATGAATCGACAGATTCGGCGGTATTCATTGGCGGCAAATCATTGCAGCTTGGTGGCGGTGGCGTTAGCATAGTAGCATGGACGACGAGATGATTGAAAATGAACACAACGGAGATCTAGTCCTATTGGCAGACATCCATTTAAAATGTAGGCAACGGCATGGAAAAAGTGGTTTCTACTTTTACTTTTATACTTTAAGTAAATTTACAAGCCTGTACTTTGTTACTTTTACTTGAGTAAAGAAGTTTAATCAGTACTTCCACTTTTACCAGAGTATTTTTTAAGTATCTGTACTTTTACTCAAGTGGGGAAAGTGAGTACTTTTCCCATCTCTGGCCGTTTTGCACTTTATCAGCACTATCATTGTCACAGCAAAATCTTGGTAAGAATGAAACCGGTCTTTAAGGAACAAAGCTGAATATTCACACCTTGTATTTTGAATTGATTTTCCTTTTTTTTTCTTTTAACGTGTGTTTCTTGCCAATATTGCATTGAGAATTGATGTCCTGGAGGCTGGATAATAGCCCAAAAGTTGCTATCCCAATTGGACCATCATGGCTATTGTCATAAGGTTCTGCCTCACAGTTGAACATTATAATAATAACTTTATTAAACGTGTCTTTGGGGAGGAAAAAAACAAAACATACAGTGGACATGGAGATAGAAATAAAGATAAGAACAGAAGACGGGAAAAGAATAAAGGGGGAGAGAGGGAGAGAAAGAGAGAGGGGGGATGAAAAGAGAAACAAGAATGAAAAGAAGAAGAAAAAATACACAGGACACCTATGCTGGTGGAGATTCTCAGTCATCCAGGTCATAGTCATTCCAAAAAAAGTAAGTGTTTCCAAGTTTGAAGACGTTTCGTTTCCCATCCATTGAACTTTTTCAATTCAAAATGTCAGAAATAGCGTTGAGTTCCAGGTTTTATAGAGTGGACCAAAAACAAACCCTTTTTATGGCTTAGGAAACACGCAAAATTGAATGGATGTCCCTTGACAGCATTCTGCCGGTTCAATTTGCATGTTTTCTAAGCCAAAACAAGACTTTGATTTTGGTCCACTCTATTAAACATCAAATTCAATGCTATCTCTGACATTTTAAATTTAAAAATCTTCCTGGATGGGAAGCAAAACATCTTCAAACTTGGAAACAAAGTCCAGTGGATTGTGTTAAGGAAGAAAATATTCTAAATAGTTAACTTTGGAAAAAGGTTGGGTGTTTCTCTTCCTCTCCCAGGTGCGCTCAGCGAGCTGCGTGTGGCCCCCAAGGAAAACCAGCAAGATATGCGAACGTCACAGAATCACAGAATTTAATCCAACAAAAAACAGCTTATGAATTAACAACAAAACTGCAGAACAACAGAGACATACATTCCATTACCTGACATAGGAGGAAAGAAAGCAAAGAGCACAGAGACATCTTTGGAGAGTTGCAAGGGCAAATCTGATCTGTAACTTCTATTTAGAAAGCTTTA